TCCTGATGAAAGAGACCCTGAAGAGCTCCCTCACCCCTTCACCATATGAGGAGACTGGGGAAAGGCAGCCGTCTGTGAACTGGACAGCCAGTCCTCACCAGACACAGAATCAGTGGGCACCTTGGTCGTGGACTTCCCGGCCTCTAGAACTGTAAGAACTTGGCTTCTGTTGTTTGTGGGCACCCAGTCTGTGGTACTTTGTTATAATAGCTTGAACTAAGACAAGAGGAATGGAGGATGACTATGTAGGGCCCAGGCTGGGCTTTCTCTTGGAGGCTCAGTGCTAGACGATGCCTTTAGAGATGACTTGGTCAGGCCGGGCGCGGTGGCTCAAGCCTGTAATCCCAGCACTTTGGGAGGCCGAGGCGGGTGGATCACGAGGTCAGGAGATCGAGACTATCCTGGCTAACATGGTGAAACCCCGTCTCTACTAAAAATACAAAAAACTAGCCGGGCGAGGTGGCGGCGCCTGTAGTCTCAGCTACTTGGGAGGCTGAGGCGGGAGAATGGCGTGAACCCGGGAGGCGGAGCTTGCAGTGAGCCGAGATCCGGCCACTGCACTCCAGCCTGGGAGACACAGCGAGACTCCGTCTCAAAAAAAAAAAAAAAAAAAAGATGACTTGGTCAGCACCCAGTATTATAGATGATGACCCTGAGGCCTTGAGAGGGGTAGCCACTTGCCCAGGTCACAGGACCAGTTGATGGTAGGGCTAGGATGCTGGGATAAAGCTGCCTGAGTCCCCATCCTGGCGAGTGTTTCTCCTGTAGAGTCTCAGCACGAGGCCCTCAGCCTTTCTGGTTTTGGGTGCCATTCTCCGGAATAGGACCAGCATGTCTGCTGGCTCCAAACCCCAGTGGTTAGAGAGTACAGAGGAGGTTTGGGGATCAGGAAATGCTCGATGTGACTGAGGAAGGTTTTAGAGTAGGGTGTAGGGGCAGAAAAGATGAAAGTCATTTGGGGCCAGGCAGCAAAGAGGAGCATTCAGAGGCTCTGAATTCAGTAGGGGAGTAAAATGCCTGGAGGTACGCTGTCTTGGGGAGTCATCATCATGGAGGGTATGAAGGCCAAAGGAGGTCAAGGAGCAGAGGTGCGGGTCGTGGGCGCCACTCTCCATCCTGCGTGCAGCGACCCGAGGCTTTCTGCACAAGAGGGAACCGCATCTCTCATAACCATCTTGTCCCTCGAATCGCAAGCTGGGGCAGTCCTTGGCTGAATGTCTACCTGGAAGGCCTCGGGAGGTGTAGCCTGAGTAGAGGGCAGACCACATCCTTGGGTGAAAAGACAGACTTCTCAATGGCTGGGCAGCCAAGGCCTTCCTATAGCTCAGGGAGGCTTTGGTAAATCCAGCGTTTCCAAGGGCGTGGCCGGTGCGCTGTGGTTCCCAGGTGTTTGAGCTCTGGGAGTGTGGGGTTGCTCATGGAGAAGACGGCAGCAGGCTAGGCGTGGCCCACAGGCCACCGAGCTGTAATCTCAGCCCCAACACACGCCACACACCCTCACACTCTCCTTCCTGCCTGTCAGCCCCAGTGGGGTAGGGGAGCACCGTGAGCCTGATTTCCAGGCGAGGGTTTGGGGGAGTAAGCCCTAGGAACCCTGACTCTCTGGGAACAGGGCAGGGGCTGGCATGACATGCAGGAGCTGTGCCCACCAGGCCGCACACCCTCTCCGCGCTCTTCCAGCTCCGCAGATGCCCTGAGCTTGCGTTGTCTTCCCCTCCGGGACCCCGCAGAGTAGATGCTCGGTGACAGAGCCACGGAGAAGGGAAATCCTGACTCTGAATCCTGAATGAAACGGGTTTCCCTCTTGAAGTTACTGAGCACTTTTCATGGAGCCGTCCGAGGAGAACACTAAGGGATAATAGCAATGCTAATGATAGTTATGGGAATACAGGAGTGTTTCTGTTGCTACAGCTGAACAGGAATAATAATCTTAGTTAATATTATTGGGGTGCTCCCTGTGCCAGGCACTGTGCTCAGTGCTTTCTTTATGTGGAGTGTCACTGAATCCTCGTGGCAATGCTGTAAAGTCAATATAAATATTACCCCCATTTTCCAGATGAGAAAACTGAGGTACAGATGGTTTACACATGGTTCAAGGCCAGCCTTGGAGCCAGGACATGGTGGAGCCAGGATTCCATGACCAGCTTGAAGCTCTTTACCAGGCTATCCTTCTCTGTGGCCATGGGGGCTGGGGCAGGGGGCATCTGAGCAGCAGAGGGCAGTGGTGGGGTTGGGAGGGGCACCCCCAGGAGGATGGGGCAGCTGCTCTGCCAGAGTGGGTGGGGGTGAGGCCTTTGTTGGACGCCTAGGCTGTGCCCTCCTTTGAGTAGATCATCTCGTCCACGGAGTCTGGATAGAGGCCTTAGGCTGAAGACAGGGCAGAAATCTAAGCTTTTCGTTTCAGAGAGAAAAGAGAGAGCATGTGAGTTTTGAGTGGAATGTGATCCTGGAGATAGGCAGCCGGTACCCCCGTCATGAGCAGGAATCCTGCAGGCCCAGTGGGAACTTCCCATCCCAAGGGAGTACAGGGACAGGCTGCACCCCCCTGCCCAGCTCCTGACCTCCCCCTGCCTTCCCCGCTTCAGCCACAAACCCCTTGGCCTTGTTGTTTCAACTGTGGAACAGGCTCCCCAGCTATTGTTCTTGGAGACGATTCTGTGATCTTAGGACCTTTGAGAAAAGAACAAACAGCTAGGAAAACACAGGGTGGTTAAAAGATGTTTGTGATTTTTGTGCCATATGGAACAAAAGAGGCATTCGGGAGACTCAGCATTGTTCTGCGGGAGTGAGGATGAAACAGCCCTCAGAGGCCTCCTCTCATCTGGGGGCATCCAGCTCATTGTCGTGGAATGTAGCTCCAGCCAGTCGCTCTAGTGTCAGGCCTTATACTCGGGGCCCGGGCTAGGAGTGTGTTTAAACTTGATTCACTTTGAATCCTCTCCTGGTTTCTGATCCATTCTTTCTGTCTTCTTGTTGGGAAAAGTGGCTCATGCTATCACCCCGTCACTGTCATTTCATACCAGCTACCCAGACTCCTTACTGGATACCCTTCATTGCCTGTCCTCAGCAGGACCAATAAAGTCATATTTATATAGCAATCCAAGGTCACCTAGTAATTTTATGCAATTCCCCGTATTGGATTTTTATATCAGCTTCAATATAGATGTTATTTCCTTTTTTTTTTTTTTTTTTTTTTTGAGATGGACTCTTGCCCAGGCTGGAGTGCAATGGCGCAATCTCAACTCACTGCAACCTCCACTTCCCGGGTTCAAGTGAGTCTCCTGCCTTAGCCTCCCGAGTAGCTGGGATTACAGGCGTCTACCACCACAACCAGCTATTTTTTTTTTTTTTTTTTTTTGTATTTTTAGTAGAGACAGGGTTTCACCATGCTGGCCAAGGTGGTCTCGAACTCCTGACCTCATGATCCACCCGCCCTGGCCCCCAGATTGCTGGGATTACAGGCATGAGCCACCGCGCCTGGCCTTATTTCCATTTTTTCAAAGACAAAACTGAGGCTCAAAGCAGAGAGGTGACCTGCTTGCTGATGGACAGCTAATGACAGAGCCTCAGAGGAACACGGTGCTCTCAGAACCCCACTGAAGGTTCCTCCTTCAGGGAACTGCATTCCAAAAGCTGCCTCACCTCCTTCGGGAATTCTGAAACGTTGTGTACCTACTCTTACCTTTACCCAGGAAAGCTGTTTCTGGGATTGGGGCTCTCAACTCCAGGCCCAGGTCTCTGTAATTCTGGGTTAGTAGGTTTCACATTAACGAAGTTTAACTCACCATGGTTCATTTCTCCCTTTGCGGTCCCCTGTGTATGCTGCTGGGGCAAGTCTGTGAAGGCTCCATTCTCCCCCAGTTTGGAATGCCCAGTGCCCCTGCCGCAGCCCACAGCCCTTCAGAAGGTGATTGCAAGGAAGCCAAGACGTTCCTTTGCCTTCCTGAGGACACAGAGCCTAGCCTTGTCTTCGTTCCTTCTGCCATGTCCACGCCTGGTGTCTCCTGTGCAGCCTTTCCTGCATAAGTCACAGCCAGGCAGGCTCGGTGACATGCACTGGGATCCCGGTGTGGAAGCTGGGAGGTAGTAATCGTGTAGTCGCACTAGTGGTGGCCACAGGCCAGGGGTTCCTAAGGAAATTGGAAGGGCCTCTGGACCTGCCTTCCTCCCCACCCTGCTCTGTATCTCCTTCAGAGTTTTTCTGATAGGGGTAGTGCTGCCTTGTTCCTTGGGAAGGCTTGGAGGTTTGGGGTCCTCGCCTGCATCTTATCGAAATCCCTGTGTCTCGCTGGAGGAGTAAGAACCGGACCTGCCGTCAGGAAATGCCTCAGATGAGTGCTCAGCACCGGTGGCAGGACCAGGGATGTTTAGTTGAGATAAGAGAAAGCCCATGGGGGCATTATCTCTGTCTTCCTGTGGGACAGGAAATGAGCTTGTGCCTTCTGGCTCTCGGGGGCAGGACGTGGAGCAGGGAGCGGAAGCTTTAAGGGGTGAAATTCAGCGTCCTGTGAGAAAGAACCCACTAAAAAGTAGTTTTCAAAAAGCAGAACGTGCTGCCCTGAACAGAGTGAATTTCTTCTTCCCGGAAATTCCCAAGCGTTATTCTGACAGGGAGGCTGTGGCCCGGGGCCCAGGAATGGGAGCTCCAGCGCCGAGTGGCACTGAGATGACCACCTACCTTTACACTTATTGGCATGTAATTAGTCCCCCCCGTAGCGTCCCGTAGTGACAGCTACCCACAAGAGCTGAGCTCCGGGCAGACACCACAAAGGGAACGAGGGCCAGGGACCCCTCATTCTCCTTGTTTCCCTGGGTGTGTACACGTGTGTGTGTGAGGGAGACAGCGGATGCGTGGATTTTGTCCCTTTGTTTCCATGCTACCCCGACCCCTACTCCACACCAAATAACTCATTTAATAACTTGGAATCCTCCCATGCGTTTATCTGTGCTTCTAAAAGTCATAGACAGTTACGACACACATCAATGCATAGATACATGTACAAGTTTTTAAAAATTGTTTTATAAAAATGAGATCATATTAATCAAATGTACTGCATGTTGCTTTTCTCGCTCATCAATACTTCATAGAAAAGTCCCTCGAGTTAACTGGTGTGCCTCTCTTATTTCATTCTGTTAATGGAGTCCGTAGGCTGGATGGCCCGTATCTGATTCAACATTCTTTCTTTGATGTGCATTCATTTTGTCTCTAGTTTTTTCACTTCTAAATAATACTTCCATAAACACTCTCGTTTGTACATATGGACGTGTGCGTGTGTGTGTCCTTCTGAGGAGGAGTGCTTTTATTTCCCAGGCATAGATTCCCAAGAGTAGGAGTGCTGAGCTTAAGGCGGGTGTGTGTGTGTGTGTGTGTGTGTGTGTGTGTGTGTGTGTGTACGATATATATATAGGATCTTTCCAGATTGTTGTGTGTGTGTATGTGTGTGTGTGTACTATATATATAGGATCTTTCCAGATTGTTTTCCCAATAAACTACAGCAATTCTCACTTCCATTAATAGTACGTGAAGGCACCTGTTTCCACATCCCCACAGCATTAATTGTGATTTCCTTGTTTGTGCTGGCTGGGCTGGTGGGTGGGCGGTAACACCTCACTGTTACTTTGTTTCATTTCTCTGACCCCTGGTGTGCCTGAGCATTACTGTATAGGACTATCTGCCATCTAGATTGCTCTTCCACGAATCACCTATGGGACCTTTGCCTGTTTTGCTCCCAGGGTTTTCTGCGTCAGGCAGGCAAGCAAGCCTGTGTCTCCATCTCAGCCTTTACCTGGTCCTGGAGATGGTCAGCTCTCAGTGACTTCCCTTCCCTTCCCTTACCCTTCTGCACAGTTTTTAGAGTCCCCAGAAATGGGAAATTAAGTCATATTCTCCCAAGTGTCCCAGGGTAAGGGTGAGGGGGAGAGCAGGAAATTAACTCGGTGAGAGCTGGTAAGTTATCCTGGGGGTTGGTTCCACTGTCTGTCTCTTGTGTTTCCTGGGCCAGGTTCTCTCACTTCTTGCCGATGTGAACGCTGCATGTGTGAAATAAGGAACAGACACTCAGCAATGCACCTGTAAATAGTTTGGATCCTGACTGGTGTTTCTGAAGCTTAAAGTCTCACTACTCAAAGGGTAGTTCCTGGGCCAGAAACAGAATCTCAGACCCCACCCCAGACCTACTGAATCAGAATCTGCATTTTAACAAGATCCCCAGATGATTCATAGACACAGTAAAACTGGAGAAGCATTGGCTTAAAACATTCGGATTAGAATCTGTGAGGGGAACAGAAGCGATGAGAACTTACTTGCCCGGAAATGTTGCTGCCGTTGAGAATGTTTTCGACGTGTCGGTAGATCCAGCATGGTGCAGATTCGACAGCGCAGGGTGGCATGCCTTCTTTCTCTTGCTCTTGAGATCTCATGGTGCCTGCCACCTTCCAGAATACAGCGCCCCTCTGCCTTGGGTGACAGGAAAGCTCAACACACCCCATTCCAGCCGCTTCTCCCTGTCACTGAGTCTTACAGCCCCATCGAGTCCATGCAAACAACCTGTTTCAGATATAGCCCGACTCCGTTTGTGGCAAGTACTGCACGCTTCAGCTGCCTGACTCGAGTTTCCTGCCATCTCCTGTGCTGCCCAGCTCCTTCTCACTGCCCTGTCACCTGTCCTCGGTCTTTGTTTCCTGAGCCTGGGGCAGCCTCAGCACCTCCAGTTTTCATACGGAGCTGCCCCCATCAGATTCTCTCGCCCTCCGACAAAGCACTGTTAGTTACTCTCTAGGTAACTGGGGCCCCGTCCTGGCCTGCACCTGCCGCCCTCCTTCCTCCACCTCAGACGTGAGCACCTCAGCTCAAAGGTGAGAGCACACAGGGTGTGCTGCCAGAGCCAGACGAGGGGGTTACTGCTTTGCACCGGACGAAGCGAGTCGTGCGGTTCTCCTGTAAATAGCTGTGCTTTCCAAAGCGCTTCCACCGTGGTTCCTGTGGCCTTCACACGTCCTTGGTTTGCCAGGCAGGGTTTATCAACCAGGGATCACGTAGGAAGCAGAAACCACTCCAGGTGGTGTAAGCAGAAGGAGTTTCATATTGGAATCAGGTGCTTACAATGTCGTTGGAGGGGCTAAAGGGGCAGGGTTCAGGCTGGGCTTTCGGAAGGACTCCCAGCTCGTTCAGAAGCAGCTGCTGCCAGCCCACAGCCGTTTCTGGACTCTCCAGGGGGCTGAAGGGTGGACAGTCTAAGTTGAGGTCTGAGGATTATGGAGTTTGAACAGAAGCCACCACCACTGCCCTGCTTTTCAGGTACTCAGGAAGGGGCAGCATGACCTGGGTTCAAGGTGACTGGGACTAACCAGCAGTGACAGCCAGAAGCCACATTCTCACCGGGCAGGTCTCATGCAAGCACGCTCGTTCCTGAGTCACAGCACCTGATTGACATCCAGAGCTCTCGCCGCTTGGGCATCTGGGAAGCATAGTTTCCCTCGTTCCAGCCTCTCAAGGGGAGGAGGATCCACGGGAGGTTTGGGAGGAGCCAACTGTGCAACCTCAGCTAGGTCTGATTTTGACGAGTGGAATGGGTGGGGCATTTGGCGTTCACACTTCCAGGAGTGCCTGCACCCAGGCCGACCCCGATGTCTTCCCAGACTTGGCTTTAGCACCTTCTGCAGGTGGCAGCCTCCTTGCACCAGCAAGGAGACCACGGTGTGGCTTCACTTCTCCCTGCGGTTCTAAGCACGTAAGACTGCTACCTTCCTGTGTGCTCCAAAAGCGATTTCTTTTTCACTTAGTGTCGTCTGATTGAGAGTGACAAGCTTGACAGAGGTTCAGGCAATGTGGGCAAAGCTGCGCTGCCTTCTACATCAAGTGCTGTTCATTTGGATCATAAGAATTTCACGTCCAGTCCTGGAATTATACGTGTCAAGGGATGTTCTCCCAGCACTGTCATTAGCAGGAACTTTTTAGTAGGAATGTTCTTGTTGATGACATGGTTGTATAACGTGATTGTGGGCGTAGGGGGACAGATGTGTTTCAAGTGCTAGAAAAATGACAATGATCTGGTCTCATGGGACCCAGGCACAGGACCGTACACACAGCAGGCGCTCGAAATGGCTTATTTGGTACATGGAATGAAATAAGAAGCTCAATGCAGGTGGAAGGACATTGGTGATGCTCCGTGTCTCGCAGCTCTCCAGGTAGTAGTCATTCCTTGGCCCCTCAGATCCTCCATTTTGGGGGAACAGTATGGCTCTACTTTGTGGAGAAACAAATTTGGGCAGCTGAGTTCAGGGCTCCATGTGGAGGAGCGAGAAGGGGGCCACCCAATGCAGCTTTCCCAGGGAGCATGTGGACTGGGCACAGTTTTTGCAGGATGAGTGGCTGCCACCATGAATGGGCAGAATCATGGGCAGATCATGCTGCTTCCTTAACTGAATCTTGGAATGCATTCAGAATCTTCATCCTGGGGCCTGGCACTCAAGGTGTTCATGACCTGGCGCTGACTCGGTGCGCTCTGGCCAGATGGGGCACTCATGGCTCCCAGATGCTGTGCCAAGCTTTCACCTGCTTATCTTTGCTTACACTGTTCCTGCCACCTGGAGGGACTTCTCTTCACCCATCTCTACCTTGAGAAATCCTGTCATTCATGGCCAACTCGGACACCCCTTCTTCATAGCCTTCTTTGCCCGCCAGCCTCAGGAGCACCCTCTGGCGCTGTCAGAATGCCCAGGACTCCTTTCCACCCCTTTCTCCTGGCCACACCCCTTTCTCCTGGCCACACCCCTTCTAGCCACACCCCTTTCTCCTGGCCACACCCCTTTCTGCCTCTTTGCGTGGTCCTGTGGGTGCTGTGCAGGCTCCCTCAGCCAAGCTCTGCATTCTCAGGCCTGGCTCCGAGTAGGTGTTTGTGGAGTGAATGGCTAAAAAGTAAAGCAAAAAGCTCATGAAACAGAGGGGAAATCCAAAAGTGATTACAGAGAAAAAGGATTCTAACAAAAAAGACCGTGAGTGCCGAGTTCGCACTGCCTGGGTTCAGGTCCTGGCTCCACTATTTAATAGCTCTGTGACCTTGGACAAACCACTAAACCTCTTTGTGCCTCAGTTTCCCCCCATGTTAAGGATCAGCATGCTACCTACTCACAGGGACTTTCTGAGAATTAAGATTCTTTAAAATATGTCAGCTTTTTGGAACGGTGCCTTCCTCACAATAAGTGTTAATATACGTTAGTACACCACTCCCCTCCCAAGCTTTCCCAGATCCCTGGCTTGTCAAAGATAGTGTCAGAAACTGGGGTTTTTTCAAGCTCCCGCTAAATGTTCACCTCCGTTTCAATCCTGCACTTGTGGCCAAATCAGTTGGAGATATTTTCCGGAGACGGCTCCAGCCTTACTGTGGAAGGGAGAAAGGACAGGAAGTTCCCCTGACCAAGGAGTGGCTCTTGCCAGGCTCTGTGCAAGGGCTCCTCATATGAAATGCTGTTTAATCTTCACACAGCCTGTAGGTATGGATTAATATTCCCATCTTGGAGGAAGCTGAAGCTCAAAGAAGAGCAGCAGCTTGCCTAGGAGGACATGGCAAGTGAGGGGCACGGCTGGAGTTGAAGCCCAGATTGGATTTTGAAACCCATGTTCTCTTGACTGCTTCTTCCAGCTGTTCCCACCACCCGGGGCTGGGAGCTGGGGGCTGCGTGTGTGTGTGCACGCATGTGTGTGTGTGTGCGCGCATGTGTGCGTGTGTGTGTGTGCGCGCGTGCACTGCTTCATCTAGCTGTTCCCACCCCCCTGGGCTGGGAGCTGCGTGTGTGCGTGTGTGTGCGTGTGTGCATGTGTGTGGGGGTGTGTGCATGTGTGTGGGTGTGTGCGCATGTGTGCGTGTGTGTGTGCGCGTGCACTGCTTCATCCAGCTGTTCCCACCCCCCGGGGCTGGGAGCTGCGTGTGTGCATGTGTGTGTGTGCGCGTGTGTGCATGTGGGGGTGTGTGCATGTGTGTGGGTGTGTGCGCATGTGTGCGTGTGTGTGTGCGTGTGTGCGTGTGTGCGTGTGCACTGCTTCATCCAGTTGTTCCCACCCCCCGGGGCTGGGAGCTGCATGTGTGCATGCGTGTGTGTGTGTGTGCACGCACACACGCGTGTGCAGTCCTCACTGGGGTGGGTGGGCTCGATGGCCCTGCTCTGAGTTGCCTCAGAACTGAGCAGAGTGGATCAGTGTGGATAGATCTTCTGGGGCCTGGGAACCCCAAAGCATCCAGCAAAACCCGTGTTTGTCCAGGGTTCAGCCATGGCAGCTCACAGAACCCGACCTAGATTCCAGTAGCCTTTTGCCTAGGTGTGGCTGAGATGTCGGCAAGCCTCAGTTTCCTAGCTCATGGGTCCCCCTGACGCCTAGAAATGGTCTCGTGGGTTTTAAGAATAATTATAACGATCTTGTCCTCACTTCAGCTGATTTGGTATATACCAATTTACTGATTGATATCAGCACCCGCATCGTTTGCACATTTCTGCAGTGACAGTAATGCCAAGTAAACTGTAGAAGAAATGAGTTCCTGAAGCATTTACAGGCAATCAGGATGTTCACTTTGCATGGAGAGCAGGCACGCGCTATTTGAATCAAGCTTCCACGATTGGGGCGAGCAAATGATCTTATATTTACATATTTTTCCGAAGGCCACTTTACCTCAATTTTAAATCTTTGAGTTCCAATTTTTGAAAATTCGATTTTGTTGTAACTGAGGTAATACAGCCTCAAGGCCCTGTGAAGACAGCTTATATTAGAAGTCTGTCTGTTCATCTTACCAGCTTGAAGACAGCAGAATTCTGTGAGAAAAGATAGGCTTCAGGAGTCAGTACCAGTGACAGTGGGTGGACCAGTGATAGTGTAATACTCGTTCAGCTTCGTCACAATCGGCGTGTCCTTTACACGTCAGCTTGCAGACGTTCACAGTGACAGATGCTCCCGTCATGAGAGACACTGGGCACCGTCAGACACCTGCCCCTGGAGCGCCATCCTAGCCAGAGAGATACACACAGGCCCAGCACACTCAGCTCAGCCAGACCCTCTCCCCCACCGCCTTTCCCCCTGCTCCCCATCCAGCCTCTCTCCCCACCTCCCCTCTCTGTTATGGATTGAATTGTGTTCCTCAAGCGTTCATATGCTGAAGCCCTAACCACCACTCCCTCAGAATGTGACCTTACTTGGAATAGGGTCGTTGCAGATGTCATTTGTTAAGATGAGGTCCTCACGGTCGACCCTAATCCAGTATGACTGGTGTTTTTATAAAAAGAGGAATTTGGGCACAGGCACACTCACACAGGGAGAACATCACGTAAAGGAGAAGGCAGATCACGGCTTTGCTTCTGCGTGCTAAGGAATGGCAAAGACTTCCAGCAAACCACCAGAAGCTAGGGGAGCGGCCTGGAACAGGCTCTGCCTCGCAGCCCTCAGAGGGATCCAGCCCTGCCGACCCGTGATCTCAGACTTCCAGCCTCCAGGACTGCGGACAATCAGTGTCTGTGGTTTAAGCAAACCAGTTTGTGCTACTTTGTCGTGGCAGCCCTAGAAAATAAATATACACCTTGCCCCATCCACATACACACACCTCACACAGACACACTCATACACCACACACACCACACAGACACCACACATGCACACATACACCACATACGTGCACTCATACGCCACACAACCACACACACACACATCATGCACACATACCCCCACCCACACACAAACTCAGACATACACGCACACATACACCACACACACGTATACTCATACACCACACACACACCACACACACATACCACACACACCACACACACGCACACATATACCACACACACGTATACCACACACATACACCACACACACTCATACACCACACAGACACCACACACACCCACACACCTCACCCATAAACATGCACACTCATACACCACAGACACCACACAAACACACACACCTCACACACACACCAGACACACATGCACACTCATATGCCACAACCACACACACACCCCCACCCCCACACACATAACTCACACATACACGCACACATACACCACACACATGCACGCACACTCATACACACACACACACCCTCACACATATACTACACACACACTCGTACACCACACACAGTCACACACACGCACACATATACCATACACACGTATACCACACACACTCATACACCACACACACATCACACACACATACCACACACACATCACACACACATACACCACACACACATACACCACACACACCACCACACACACCACACATACCCCCACACACCTCACCCACACACATGCACACATACACCACACCAGACACCACACACACTCATACACCACACACACCCCCACACACCTCACCCACACACACGCACACATACACCACACA